ATAAACCCATCATATTTTCCATGTCTAGCCGATGTTGGATTTCTTTTACTCCCAACAATCCTCCCCTCAAACGAACGATCACATCATTGTGGCCTCCCCTCAAATGATAATCCATCAGCCAATCATCTTGTACCGTTGTTATTGTCGTCGCCCTCGACCAAACAGAACCCGCTGCCTGACCACCATATTTTTATATTAGGAAGATTTTCGACACAAGGCACCTCAAACGCTGATGATTTATAGTCAGACGCAAGGTTAATTAAGGGACGACCTCCACCACGCTTTCCGCTGCATTCCTCCGGCTAAGTTTTTGGACCCTGGGCTCTGATACCACTTGCTAGGACTCACCAAACTCCACATGGTATGATATTGTTCGATTTGGGCATGGGCCCTCAATAATTTACTTTTGGATACTACTCAAAAGGCCTCATCCAAATGGAGTATTGTCATATACTTATAAACCTATCATATTTTCCATGTCTAGTCGATGTGGAACTTCTTTTACTCCCAACACATACAAAAAGCTGTGTATTTTCAGGATGATAAGCCTATAATTTTTCGGGTTGTATAGGAATAAAGACATGCTTAATATATCCCACATTTTGAACCAAATATCCTCTCCACTATCTTTTATTCACTAACTATTTGCCTACCTGAAAGGATACAACACAACTAGTTCCTGATTCTTTTGGATTGGGTATGAAACATACACACACTTTTATGTGTAAAGAGATTGATTTGAAAAGAAAAAAAAATAGTCTTCTCCTTCACGTGTCAGCTCTTTTTAATCAAAAACTCTAGCAAGTGACCTAAATTGTCAAACTTATATTGCGCAGTGATTGAGGTAATCAAGTTTCTTTAGTTGTCACGGTCAAGATATATAGCAAATTTAACAATAGTAAAATTAAACATCTAATTTAATTTTTGAATGTGATTGTTATTTAGATTAATTAAACCTAATCACAACTTATAACTTTATACGAATTAAATAAAAACCAAATAATTAGGACCACCAAACAAATTATACCAACAATCAAGTGATTGAAGTTTAAAAATCCAACGAAACCATATATTTAAGAAGACCTCAGTAATTCCACTCAATTTTTTCCATGTAGACAAGAAATGTATAGTAGTTCACATCATTCTATGAAGACCTCAGTAATTCCATTCAATTAAGACCTTAATGATTGAAATTATTTTTTTGGAAGAATGTATGATTAAAAATGAATTTAAAAAAAAAAAATTTTTAAAAATCTCTACCAAATAGTGGCCTAATAACATTGCCAATCGCCCGTAGTTCACGGACCTTTATTCCTAGCATGTCCGTTGCCTTTAAAGTTAATTTTGTTTGTTTGAATTACTAGAAAGATGAACAAATTATTGTCAAAGTTGTTACTTTATAATGAGAATTCTAGGAGTAATCAAACATTTTAAAAAGAAAAGGCATCATGATACTTGAAACCGAAAAAGAAGTAATTAATTTACATGAAAATAGCTCAAGCTGAGGTTGGGTTCGTCAAATATTTCCCTACATTGCCAAGAAAATCCAGCAAAATAAAGCAAAATCTGCCTCTTAAAGTTGACATATTCTTTGAAAAGCTAAATATATTACTGCAAATTTATTGTATATATATTTATATATCACGTCATGGACTCATCATCATGTTCAATATCTGATGCAGGTTCGTCTTCTTCTTCAAAACTATCAATTCCAAAAGCTCCATGACCATGTCCAAATGCTTTAATATGATCTTTCAAGGATCTTTTGTGCTTAAAATCAGAGCCACAAATACAGTACCAAAGTTTACCGCAATTCTTCTCATGGGTTCTCCAATCTCCTCTCACCGCAAAAGCTTTTCCACATTTTCTACACATGAATGACTTGATTCCATGCTTCCTCTTGTAATGTGTTTGAAGGGTTCTAAAATCTTTTAAGGGTTTTGCTCTTGGATGATCAATGTGGTTTTTGCAGCCAGGTGCACAGCAATAACAAGGGAGTTTGAGCATTCCTGATGGTTGAGTTCCTCTTAGAGATTCTGGCCCTTTTCTATACTGCGATCCATGCCCCCACATGTGCATCTGCACAAAAAAAATCCAAAAATTCTTAGATATAAAATACGGTAGCTCATTTACACATGAAAAGTATGTACATATTTTATATAGGACATTTGATTAATAGAAAATAGTCCGGTCCTGCAAGTGAGGAGACACATTGAGGATAAAATTAAATAAACTAATGAAGTTGTTCCCTTTAAACCGTTTAAGCTTTATACCAGTTCTTCCCTTCTACTGTCCAAGAATCACAGGTACTTATCAAGAACTAAAATAAACAATCTAACAGATAATCTAAACTATTCAGCCCACAGAAAAACAAAGGGAACAAAGAAAGTAAGTAGAAAGATCGAAGATGTAAAGATGTGAATTCTGTAGGACCATTGAGGAAGGAGCATAATTCTTCATGTAGAATACTGAATACCTTTCGAAAAAGATTAGGAGTCAAACAAAGAATCATTGATCGCCAAAGTCTTGGTTAATTTCTTTCAAATAGGTAGTATAAATTGATTTGTTTGTAGGATGAAAGTCGACAAACTCAGTGGAAATTCTTGTCTGAGTCTCTGATAAATGTTTGAAGGTTCTGTGATTTTACAGAGTTAACCATTTGTAAGGCACAGACTTCAAAGAGGACTAAAAGCATGAGGAATATTGCTTGAGTTGTTCAATCACATATATAAAACCAAACATTTCAGATCAATTACCAGATTGAATAATTGAAACCTCTCAAAACCACAATCCGTGCTATATACCAGCATTGAACTCAAATGAAAAAACAATGAACTTTCACGGGACATTCGGTACAAGAAATACAAGTTAAATCCTTTTCTTGTTGTGGTGTCTAATACTCTTAAAACTTTTAATAATCTCACAACTGAAATCTTGGAATCAACTAAGGACAAAGGGAAATCAAAGATATGAAAAATATGCACTACATGTATATATTTGCAAAACTCACTTGCATGTTGTTATATCTGTTGAAGGTCTTGAAGCAAACAGGACATGAAAACTGAGTTGGACCTATAAGAATCTGAGAAGGGGTAGGGATCCAGTACTGTCCCTTATTAAGTCTGTTGATGGGGTACCCTGAAACATCAGCTTCTTCATCTTTAGCACTGGTTTCAGAAAGAATAGCAGGACTAGGGTTTGGTAACCCTATGTGCAGTGCAACAGTAACCTCTTCATTATCAGCAGTAACCATATCTGCAGCTCCTTTGTTTTTGTAAATATCCATGTCTGAAACCCAAGATGGTTCTTGTTTTTCTTCATTATTTCTTGTGGTTATGGGACTTAAGCTCAAAAGGGGAAGAGCTTCTCTCACTGGAGATGAAGGAGGTGGGGTTTGAGTACTGTGTAATGAATTGTCGTGACTATAGGGAGTCATCAGGTGATGAGGAGGACTTTTAGTAGAATAATGGTGTAAAGGGTTGAATTTGTACCAGTCTGTGTAGAAATTTGAGCAGGGATTACCAGTCATAGTGAAAAGGTGAGAGGAGAAAATAGTGCGCTAGACGATCTTTCCTTTATAGAGAGTGGAGAAGATAAGCGTGGATGGTGGTAAACAAAGGCAAAGCAAAAACATAAAGTGACTTAGCGAATAAATATTTAAGAAGAAAAAAAAAAATTTTATGCAATGTTTAGTCACATATTAATTGCAATTTGATTTGTAAGAGTTTTTCATCACACTTTCCACAAAAAGTGTATGCATGCAAACGAGTGTCCTAGTATTTATTTTTTTTATTTTTTTTCCCTTTTTAAAAATGCATTAAAAGGTGCAATAAAAGTAAATTTAATTCATTAGATTCTAGGGGTACAATTTAAAAGGTAAGTCCCTGTTTGATGGAAATTAAAATCAGATTTTTAGTATATTTTGATAAAAGTTGATGAAATATATGGTTAAAATGTGTTGATCACATAAAATATGTAGTTAACATTTATTTTTTACTTTGACTTAGATTAAAATCACTCGAGCTAAATAATTAAAGTTTGTGTACCCTAATTATATCCACGAGTGTACTGTTTCTCCAGTGACATAAGTTTATTATTATAACCCAAATTGGAAAAATCTGTCTATTGCTTAGCCCTAGTTTGATAGGAATTAAAATTTTAATCTAAATCAAAATCCACAATTAATTTCAAATATATATTTCAACTTTTCAACTATACATTTCATCAATTTTTATTAAAATTTACTAAAAATTTGGTTTTAATCAATAATCACCATAGAGGCAGACATATAGGGGGTCCCCAAACCTTTGTTGTTATTATTATTATTATTATTATTATTATTATTATTATTATTATTATTTTGACAAAGTCCTATTTTGTATGAATTCAAATTTTAATTTTAATTTAAGTCAAGGTTAACAATTAATCTTAATAAAATATTTCATACAACTCACAAGTTTTCAAATTTTATTAAAATTTAATAAAAATAAAATTTTAAACCCCACCAAACTGGGCAAAATCACAAAGATTTGAACTTTTTTCTTCTCTCTCTCACAACTATTTCTCTCGCACCTTTTACTAAAACCTTGACCCTCCAAATTTTTCAAAATTTGTTTATAATTTCTCCACAAATTATCACATCCGTTACAAATATTCACTTCCAATCAAATTTTCAACTAATTAGAACTTAAATTTACATTTTCTCCTATCAAATTGTGTATATAGAATGAGTTTGGAATGATTTTGTCAAATTTGACTTATATTTAACGAATTGTGTTTATTTGAATTGATTACTAGTATTGAATATTGATTATATATTTTTCCTTCTGGTTATTTGAATTGGTTGTTTGTATCAAATACACTATAAAAACGTAAATATTTGTTTTCTTTTGATGAGCAAAATATTAATAAAATGACTATTCGAAATCAAATGGATGAAAATGATGAGCAAACATTAATGAAGGAATATTTTTTTAAAGGTAAATCTATGTTTTCTCTGATAAAATACGAATCATTCAAAAATCAACAGTAAAATATTCAATCTATATAGTGTTTGATTGTGCCCCTAACTTAAAATGCATGTGACCATCACTGATCACCATCAAACAAGGGCTTAATTTATTTCAAACAAAGATGGAAAAAACAAATAAATGGAAGATCCTTTTTTAGGTGGTGGGTTGTGGGGTTGGAATCGTGGGTGGGTTGGATTGGATCTCGATTGGGAAAAAAATCGTTTTTCTTTCCTTTTTTAATTTTTTGTTAACTGTATTTAATTATGATCTATTTATAATTTTTGAAAAGATTCAAAGCTCCTGATGTAATTTCTCCTTTATTTTTTATTTATTTGTTTTCCTTTTTTTAAATTTGAAGAGGGGAAATTTGTCATTTTACGTGGCTTTAATGGCTAAAATTGACAAAAGGGCAAGTTTTGCTATATTTCCAAAAGGTTGAGAATGTATGATGCTAAAAAAAGATTGAGAGCAGATTGGAAACAATTCGTTAAGATTTGGACGAAATGTGCAAATTTCCCTAAATTTAAGGTTTATTACACAATTAACGGATGAATGGGATAGGATTGGTGAAAAACACATTAAATTGTATCTTAATGTCTGATAAGTGAGTTTTACACACTTATTTAGATCATAAAATATGGAAAATTGTTGATGCATTTGTTGAAATATGATTTAATTCGATATAATTTGTGTTTGTAGGATTACATTGATGGATGGAATGAAAAGTATGAGAAAATGAACAAAAAATGGGCCAAAATGGAAGAATATGAAAC